ACCAGCACTACTACTACCACGACTACTACCACCACGACTACTACTACTTCTTCTTCTACTACTACTTCTTCTTCTTCTACTACTACTACTACTACTACGACGACTACTACTACGACGACGACTGCTACCACCACAACTACATACTAGTTCTATACTACTACCACCACTACCACCACCACTGGTCGTAGCACTGACTGTCACTGTTGCTACCTCACGCTTCTTTTGCTACGAACACTTTCGCCTCCGCAGCTGCAACAGCTCCAACAAGGACTGCTGCTACTCTTGCTAGTTCCCCGATGGCCGTTCCCCTGCTGGTGTTCCTTCGGTGTGCCTTCTAGGTGCTGCTCCTCCTCCGGCAAGCTGTACAACACGTTGGTGAAGTCCTTGACAGCAACCACACTCAGTCACTCACTGCCGAAGTCGATCTAGTTAATAAGTGAGCTCAATCGACAAACGCAAACCCTGAACCCAGAGATCAACCGGAGCCTGCGTGGAAGTCGTGGCTTTGCCAGTTCCCTCCTTTGCTTTGTCATGATGCCTGGACTGATGCGGCGTGCGCTCAGCGGTCTTTTGCTCGGATGCAAGGTTGAAAGCAACCGAGCTCGAGGCAACGGAGGATGGCCCTGCGAGCCTTAGCACAGCATGCCACGCTAGAGCAGGGTCGATGACCACCATTGTGCAGAGAGTTTGCACTCACGACTCCGCGACCCTCCGCGACCCTCTACGTATGACAAATCGATCGGATCGGTCGCCTCTGTGCTCTTCTTGTGTTGCGTAGGTGGGCCGGCCTCGGGTCTCCTTCAATACACTGACGACCCATGACCCCCCGACGTATGCCGACAAGACAGATCGGGAGGTCGGCTCTGTGCTAGGCGCTACGGGTCAACCATCCTGCCTCAGGTTTCCCTCAATGCAGCACTACGGCCTCCTAGATCCGGTCGGATTTGCGGGGACTCGCTCCGATTGAGCTAGTTTTACAATGAGATTTCGACTCCGTCACATTCCGATCCATGCTGATCTAGGTGCTAAGAGTTATAAGAGTGTCCACTCCCCGCCTCTTTGCAGCTAAGCTACTTGCAACAGGGCTTGCGGCTGTCGGTGAATCGCTGTATGGTGGGTACAAGAAGCTCTTCTGCTTTACAAGCTTACTGATATTGATGCCTGTGTTCCATCCCGCCGGAGGGACATGTCCGACAGCAGAGGTTCACCACCCTTGCGCCAGAATCTGCAATCCCAAGCCTTTCGCCTAAGCCTGTGAGCCCCAAGCCGTGGTCCCTGTGCGCGTCTGCGTACTGGTCCTCGGCGGTGGCCCAAGCACGCATCACCTGGCCCGCTACACAGAGGCACACAGAGCAGCACAATCTGCTCTACAGACTTGCTCTTCGCAGGATGCGGCCTGGCGGGCACCTTTGTGTCGGGCATGAAATGCTTGCAAGACTTCGGCGGCTTTCCTTCCATCTGCGTCGGTTGCTGAAACAATTATCACAGAGCCCAGGTCTTTGGTGTGCTCGTCCAAGAAGCTTTTCGGACCTGGGTGTGCTCAACCACCGAACCATGCCGGAAATGCAAACTGTCTACAATCTTTGTCTCCAAAACAATCTGTGGCACTGTGGTATCTATGGCCACTGCGAAAGTTCTCAAGCCGTACGCGCTCCATGGTGAAGTCTTCCGCTTCCAAAAGCAACTTTTCGCCATCTACTTCAATGAAGGGGTACTTGCGATTCGATCTTGCTTCAAACCTTAGTGACATCAGGAATATCCGCTTGTGCTCTCATGGCGCCGGCGAAGGACAGAGGCTTGAAGCTGCGCTTCCCGATCGCGTTAGCTCAGTGCCAACACTTGCCCGCATGCATGGACTGGGGATTGGGCAGATCCTCCTCCAGAGCGGGATACTCTTGCACGGTCATGGCATTGCCGTCATCTGGCTGCATGCCCAACAGCTTCAGTCCTTCGGTACAGCGATCTAGATGCAGCTGTAACATATACTTCAACAGAGAAAGGCTCTCCTTCATCTGAACCTGTGCCAAAAACAACGCCTGACTTGCGTTCACCCCTGCCAGCCCGACGTGTTCACGCTCCGCCGCACACCGGAACCGCCGTGAACTCATTCAGTCGCTTCGCCGCCGCCTCCGGCGATAAGCACACGCAGCCTGGCAACACGAAGCCTCCCGACTTCGGGCCTATTCAAGGCCCTTGCCCCGGATAACGAGGCGGATAAAGGCAGCCGCAGCTCCAGTGTTTTAGGCGCGCGCAGTGGTCTGCGATGTGAAGCCCAGGCTGGACATGTTTCTAGCACTCATGAAACCACTCTCCCTATTGCGAGCATGGACTCTCAAAGAAAGCCGACACAGAGCCAGCAGTCGACTGGCGCTGCAGCTCATCCCCAAACGCACAAGCCATGCAGCGCAAGACACCTGAAATCCAAAACGCAATACAAGCGTCTGGTCGCCCCCTCATCCACGGCTATCTGCATTTTGGCCATCACCGAGAAGCGGTAGAACGAATACCATCTGTACCGCTTCACGCCCTGGTCAGGTTTAGCCCCGGACTTGGTCTTCGAAGCAACAGCAGTCGCTGACTTGTTCCGGTGAGGGACCCTGATGCGCCTCGGCCTCACGCTTTGGGGGCTCCTCGAAAAGCGGCATGAACGCAAACTTTGCCTCGGTTTCGGTTGTGGGCTTGTAGCGACATGCGCTTACAGTCTAGGTGCGGCACCTTTGAAACCCCGCGAGGCAAGTGAGGCGCACACTCGCCCGTGGGATCCTTGCAGTTCTTTTGCCCCGTTGTGCGCTCGGACCACCCTCTTCACCTCGCCGACATCCTTCACGTCGCATGCAGCAATGATCACGGCACACCCGTCTGCCGTTTTGTTCTTGATCTCTTCGCCTTGCAAAGAGCAGGGGATGCTGTTGCACTTCGTGAGAATGCGGTGCCAACAGGGCCCGGACCCAGAGCTTTCAGGGAAATCTGCGATGCCCAGTTGATCCTGGTGTAGTCAAGGACCTTCTTCCCGTCAACGTAGAAGGGGTGCTTCCGCGATTCAAAGGCTTCCGACCTCCGCTGTGAGCAGGCTGCGCGTGCTCATGGCCGACTTCATATTTATATGGTGGGGATGTCACGTCCTTCCGACCAGATAAGTCGCCGACATGTCTACTTGCAGCTTTCCAGCCGCTTTGAAAAGATAAGCGCGCCCCAAGTCAAGCTGGGTGGGCCGCTTTAAGATCCACGGCTTGACTCCTTGACAAAAACTGCAGAGTGGCGCTGAAGCACAGGCACGCTCGCATGCGAGCGTGTGGGCACGATGCTGCACGAACATGCGGTTTGGACAGTCCTGGTGCACCCTCGTCGAAAGCGGATTGTATGATGGAATACATCGTGTGTCGGTAGTGGCGGTACCACTTACCGTAGAGGTCTTCACGCTCCTCTTCCCATCTTCTTTTGGCATGCAACGAAAGACTTGTGTAAACAGTGCTTGAAAGGCTAGATGCGCGGCGGATGAAGCCGGCTGTGCTTCCAGCTCTGTGCTGAAAGCATTCCGGAAGCAGTTCCCGATCGCGACAACAAGTGTTCTTGCTGCGCTCTGGTTGAGCTAGTTTTGCAATGAGATCTCGACTCCGTCACAATCCAGTCCATGCTGTTCTAGGTGCTAGGAGTGGCCACTCCCCACCTCCTACCAACAGGGCTTGTGGCTGTCGGTGAATCGCTGTATGGTGGGTACAAGAAGTTCTTCTGCTTTACAAACTTACCGATATGCATGCCTGTGTTCCATCCCGCCGGAGGGACATGTCTGACAGCAGAGGTTCACCACCCTTGCGCCAGAATCTGCAATCCCAAGCCTTTCGCCTAAGCCTGTGAGCCCCAAGCCGTGGTCCCTGTGCGCGTCTGCGTACTGGTCCTCGGCGCTGGCCCAAGCGCGCATCACCTGGCCCGCTACACAGAGGCGCACAGAGCAGCACAATCTGCTCTACAGTGGGAGGATACGGCCTGGCGGGCACCTTTGTGTCGGGCATGAAATGCTTGCAAGACTTCGGCGGCTTCCATTTCATCCGCGTCGGCTGCTGTAAGAATTATCACAGAGCCCAGGTCTTTGGTGTGCTCGTCCAAGAAGCTTTCTGGACCTGGGTGTGCTCAACCACCAAACCATGCCGGAAATGCAAACTGTCTACAATCTTGTCTCCAAAACAATCTG